AGTAAAATAACAACATAGCCTGTGCCAGTTGTAACCAAATTAAATGGAACAGTTCACAGGTGTTCCAAAACAATGTTCATAATATAGTTGAAGAAAATTGCTTCTCTCGTTTTTATGACTTTAATACTAGAACAATCTTTATATACAATGAAAAATTTTTAAACAGCAGTGAAATGATGCCATTTTATCTCCGATCCTTCTCTTTATGTACTGTACTACTGCTATATATACAGATTAATCTGTTATTACTGATGGCTCTGTTATTCACGCTCCTATAGCCATAAATATGGATCACTGTGTATCAACTCAGAAATCACTCTGTGTGACTAGATAAACAATGTATACAGATCATTTTAGTAAAGAATGATCTTAAGTTAGTGAACTTGTACTAGAAGCTACAATTATACTTCATAAATGACTTCTATGCCTGGAAAGAAGTATATGTTTGACTTAATGGCTATTATATATCACAGCATAAACACTGCATTCCTACATCTTTTCCTCCCTTCAACAAATCCTTACCCATCACATTTTTTCACATATTACTTGTATTGGGCTAAGATTTGTGAGGGATACAGAAAAAAATGAGAAGAATTTCTATCTCTAAAGCAGGTAAGAGGACAATAGAAGAGATGCTGTGTGTGTGTGTGTGTGTGTGTGTATGTATGTGTGTGTGTGTGTGTGTGTGTGTGTCTGTCTGTCTGTCTAGCTAGCTAGCTATAAAGATGATAGGAAACAGCATTGCTATTTAAGAGGTACCCTGAAATTTATATGTAAAATGTTTTATGTCAGTAGTTACTTACTGAACACCTACAAGTGAAGAGCCTGCAATGGAAGTTAGGAATACAGCTATGAAAAAGACAGTCACATTATTTGGTGTTATATGTTTTGCCATCTAAATGGAAGGCAGACACTAAACACATGAATAAATGAGAATTATAAATTGTGATAAGTAACATGACGGAAGCAAGACAGTAGTAGAGAATAACTCTTACTTTGTATGGGCATGAAAATATGCCCAGACAAAGACTTGCATGTAAACGTTCATGGAAGCATTATTGGTAATAGCTAAAAGTGGAAGCCACCCAAATGCCCATCAACTGGTGTTATGAGTTGAATTTTGTCCCTCAAATAGATATGGTGAAGTCCTAACACCCAGTGCCTCTGAATGTGACCTTAGAAATAGAGTCAGCATACATGTAATCAGCAAAGATAAGGTCGTGGTAGGGTAAGATGGACCCTAAATCGAATATTACTGGTGTCCTTCTAATAACGCAATGGGAAGAAACACATAACACAGAGAGAATGTCACGTGACAACAGAGGCAAAGATGGAGTGATGTGACTATAAGCCAATGAATGCCAAGGATTGACAGCTACCACCAGAAGGTAGGAAAGATTCTTCCTAGAGTCTCAAAGGGAGCATGGCCCTGTCAACACCTGTATTTATGACTTCTGTCCTCTAGAACTATAAGAGAATAAATTTATTTTGCTTAGGGCCACTGAGTCTGTAATGCTTTGTTAAGGCAACTCTAGGAAACTAATACAACCAGCGAATGGAGAAGGAAAATGTGGTATATCCATACAGTGGAATATTATTCTGCAATAAAAAGGAACAAACTACTGGTACATGCTACAACATGGATGAATCTTGAAAACACTATGCTCAGTGAAAGAGGCCAAGCACAAAAGACCGCATATTGCACAATTTAATTTATATGAAATATTCAGAAAAAAGCAAATGTATAGAGACAGAAAGAAGTTAGAGGTTTCCCAGGACTGAGACTGGGAATGGGGATTAATTGTGAATAGGCATGAGGCATCTCACTGGGGTGATGGAAATGTTCTAAAACTAGATTGTGGTGATAGTTGCATGACTCAGCAAATTTGCTAAAAGCCATTGGATTGCACATTTAAAATTTGTGAACTTTTTAGTATGTAAATTATACCTTAAAAACTTGTTTTTCAAAAAATTATCAATGGAAACAGACAAAGGTAGAAGTTTTTATAATTTGAGTCATTTAAAGACCACTGTCGGCTAGAGAGTAGGGCCTAAAGAGGAGAGGGGAAGGCAGTAAGTAGGCAAAGGATTCTGGGAGAGCAGATGTTCAGTTTGGGCCTAAATAGGCAGGATTTTAGGACGTGGAGATAACAGTTCAGGGATCTGGGACATTGCGTCTTCTGCAGTGCCAATGATATTTTAGTTCTTTCAAACAAGGCCGTGTGACATATATTTGTTCCTTGGTGTAATTTTCATGACCGGATTAGATAAACACAATTTTATATGTGATATTTATAGACAGAGAGAGGCTGGGAAAAAAACCTGATGACTTCTAAGACCTCCTTGGCCCTTGTATTTTAACCTTATTGTCTCATCTCCCTGCAACACATCATACACTGCAGTGCAGGCTGTCTTGATTCCCTGGGAAGACGAAAGACCTCTTTCTCTCAAGGCAATTCTTTCTTTAATTAACACTGCTCTCAGAGTATACAGCCATATACACAGCACTAAAAGGTGTTAACTTGCTCACTGCGCTCAAAGTCATACTACTGATATTTATGGGATGATGATTCAACTGTACGGGCTGTTTGTTAGCAAGTTCAGCAGCTGTGTGTGAATATTGTTGTAAGTATGCACTGAGTCTTTACCAGGCCAGCTTTGTGCAGATGCTCAAAGAAAGGCAAGCCCAGACTCAGGGGCAAGAGAACTCAGACAGCAGAGGCTGGCCAAAAAAGGAGGAATGATTTTGTGACTGAACGTGTCAAGCATGGGTGTAATGTATTTTAACTTACTTTTGTAGTGTTATTCATTTCGTGGTGAGAGGCCGTTGTAAGATATTAAGATGAGGAGTCAGGGGCCTGGGTTTCAACACTGACTGGTTTTCTGTGGGACTAAAGACAAACCATTTAACTTGTGAGATTACAGCCTTGCTTGTAAAAGAAAGGGATAGATTAGAATTGTGATTTTAACCTACGGAGGGATAAGTGTCCCTTCAAGAATAGGTTGCTAACCATGGATTCTCTCCTTAGAAAAGTGTGCATCAAGTAGGAAAATAATACCAAGATTAAGGTCACTGAACCAAATGATATCAAAGGTCCCTTCCAAATCCAATACTCCTTGTCATTCCAGGAAAGGAAGAAAAATGAAAACAACAACAAGAAGAACAATTATGTTCAAGTTTGCACTTTTAACAATGTACCTCACAGCAAACTTAGCTAGACTGTATGTCATCAGACACTCAGGGTTGATTCTGTTTTTCACAGTTTGAGGAGATCCTCTTGATGCTTCTCAAACTCTGAAATGGCTGATGAAAAGGGTCACCTCAGTGGAGTGCAGTGGCTTATGCCTGTAATCCCAGCACTTTGGGAGGCCGAGGCAGACAGATCACCTGAGGTCAGGAATTCAAGACGAGCCTGGCCAACATGGTGAAACCTCATCACTACTGAAAATACAAAAAGTAGCCATGTGCGGTGGCACGTGCCTGTAGTCCCAGCTACTTGGGAAGCTGAGGCACAAGAATTGCTTGAACCTGGGAGGCAGAGGTTGCAGTGAGCCAAGATTGCACCACAGCACTCCAGCCTGGGCAACAGAGCAAGGCTCAGTCTCAAAAAAAAAAATAGAAAAAAAAAGGCAAGTATTCACCTCTGCAGAGTGAGTGAAATCATTTCTTTTGTGATTGCACCTGTCCGCCATCCATTTTTTGTCTTTAACCTTTTTTTCTAAGGTTCAGTCTCTTTTTCCTCTGACTATGGGAAGCCTAAAGGAAAGATGAAATGGAGAGCCCTATCTTTTTGTAGTAAGCTAAGTAATTCCAAACTCTTTACGGGCACAGTTGAATCAAATATCATAAAAAATGACCAGAAATGGAATAAGAATAAATGTATTAGAACCATTAGAGCAGTGGCAAATGGAGTCAAGCATATATTGATAAGAAATAATTGATAAGGCCAGGAGTGGTGACTCATGCCTGTAATGCCAGCAATTTAGGAGGCCAAGGCAGTTGGATCACTTGAGGCCAGGAGTTGGAGACCAGCCTGGCCAACATGGTGAAACCTCATCTCTACTAAAAATACAAAAAAATTAGCTTGGCCTGGTGGTGCAGAACTGTAGTCCCAGCTACTCGGGGAGGCTGAAGTAGGAGAATCGCTTGAACCTGGGAAGCAGAGATTGCAGTGAACCAGGATCCTGCCACCGCACTCTAGCCTGGGTGACAGAGTGAGACTTCGTCTCAAAAAAAAAAGAAAAGAAAGAAAGAACTGATAAGTATTTCATTACAAAGCATGGACTTAGTTTGTTAGACTGTGTTACCTTGGGCATAATTGTACAGTCATTTTCCAGGATATAGGAAAAGTGGGAGAATATGACCCTCTAAATAAGTTTGCTATTGGCAAGATAGGTATAACTTAAGTGTTTTCTACAGTTGTATCTTGTTATTCTTTTCTCACAGGTCCAAAATGTAATAAAAATACAGGCATTTGATGTTACATTGAATATACTAATTTATGATTCATTTATATTGGCCTTGGAAATGAAAGTAAAAGTTGTGACCACAGAATGGTTACTCAGAAAAATTGTTTTGTTATATAGACATAATTAAGCATGCAAGTATTTTAAGTACTTTTATTAATAAATGTTACAAATTTTTCTGCAGTATGCTTCCAAAGAGATAATTTAATTTTCCTGATGACTAGCACTGTATCCCCTTCTCCTTTTTTTTCCTTAAGACTACCTTAAAACAATACTTTCGAGGGGCAAAGTTGTATGCATGGAGAGTTTAATCCAGGTAGATGATGTGGTTCTGCAATACAAATTTTTCTGTAGCAGTAACTGGGAGAAGAGCCACAATTCATGACTGCTAGAGATAGGACCTGCATTAAATGAAGGAATTAATTGTGCACATAATGATGTGTATGAGCATTCTACATTAACTGAAAAATGAGTTTTACATTTTATACATTTTAAAAGAATCTCCAAGACTTAGCTCCTTTATTTATTCACAGGAGTGATGGGTGAATATGAGCCCAAAATAGAAGTGCAGTTCCCAGAAACAGTTCCAACTGCAAAAGGAGCAACGGTGAAGCTGGAATGCTTTGCTCTAGGAAAGTAAGTTCTGGTTTGCATTCCTTCTTATCCTCGCTTCAGCTTGAGCAGGTATAGAGTTTTTCTCGCACTGTTCACAGTGATGGTTTCTGAGGTGACTGAAAAGCAGGTGAAGCCTTTCTCTTTGTAATTCTGTGTATGCATCTTGGATTCTGCCCCCCACCATGGAGAGAGGACATGTAATGGTGCAAGAAGGATTAGGCTGCCACAACTGACATGGCCACAAAGGAGAAGAGAATGGGCAATTCTGAAAAAGTATTTTGTTATATTATTATGACCTGTAATGTGCATGCTGTCTAACCCAGAATGACAGGAAAACAGTGGCCTCCATTTGAGGTACAGTTAAGCTGACTATTTGGAAAAATATGGACTTTCATTTTGGCCCCAGTTTATAGAGGATGCATCAGACTTTTCTTGAATTTCTTTTTAAACTGTCAGTCTCTTCTCTCTACTTTGGATTTCCTTCTGCTCCAGCTAGAGATAGGTAAGACGTGTTATTCTCTAAGAGAGTCTGTTTTGCAAAGTTGTCCGAAAATTGTTTCAGTATGGACTTTCTTGAGAAAAGCCTACTTAGAAACTAGTTAACTTTTCCATAGAGAATATATCAGAGGGCATAAAGAACATGAAATGCACATCAGTTGGGATTTTTATTTGCCAGTAACCAGCAATAAAGATTTGGCATAAACAGTATAAACTATTATCTGAAGTGAGAATTTTTATATCTTCTGTGGATTTCAATGATCCATGTCAGTCTTTACGCCCAGCCCCTTCTATCTGACAAACCCATTACTAACTCTCTTTTTCCTGTGCCCACATGTTCACTAAGGCAACAACACTTTTTCTTCTTCTTTTTTTTTTTTGGTAGAGGCAGGATCTGGGTATGTTGCCCAGGCTAGTCTTGGACTCCTGGATTAGTTATCCTCCCACCTTTGCTTGTCAAAGAGCTGGGATTGTAGGCCCAAGCCAGGGAGCCAGGCAACATTAACTCTACCAATTCTTATATCAGCGTGTAATCTATTTTCTTAGGATTTTTGTGTTTTACAGCAATCATAGAAAAGGTTCCTTTTTTCATTTTATTGTCAGTTCTAATAGAAAGGTTGTTTTGGTTTCCATGTGTTTTCAAGTCGGGACAAATAAGCTACAGTAGTATCTTTACTTTGGTACAGTACAATACAGTGGTAATTTTTTATGTCCTGAAAACTTATATTAAATAAATTATGACATAACTATAGGATTGAACATTCTACAGACATTAAAAGTCAACTTGCAAAACAACATTTAAGGCATAGAAAATGCCCATGATTTATTGCTAAGAGAACAAAAGCAGATTGCTAACAGTATAATATGATTAGACTTTTTATTTTTATTTTAAAGCATTTATGCATGTATAAGCATTTATATATATATGAAATTAAAGATGAGAGCAGGTAACTGGGTAGTCTAGATATACATTTGATGATTTTTTTAAGGTGACACCTTGAAAAATCATCTGTGAAGAAAGAGCAGAATTCACGTTGTTCACACTTCAAAGGGGGTTATGAATGAAACTCTATTCACACTGTTTGAATAGTGCTGGAATAAAAACAAAAAACCCAAATTGGCTTCTTCAGTCTACACAGAAATGTTTGGGTATGCACATCCAGCTGCTGAAACACATCCTCATTGCCCACTTAAAAGCAGAAAGACTACGTCTCAATACGGTTATTTTTAAAGACATATATTAAGTGCATATCTCATCAGTATAAAGACACCGATTATGTACTTTTCATAGAGCCTTTCTGCATTTTGAGTTAGTGTCTGTCTAACGAACTTAAATTATTCTAAAACAAATATAGTAGAGTTGATGGCTTTAATGTTTTAAATACCATCTCAGGTTTCCCAGAGAAGATTAGCAAGTCTTTAGTCTAATTACTTCTCTGTGTGTGTTTTTGTGAAAAATAAATAAGTAAATAATTGTATCCCCTGCCAGGAAGCCACAATCTTAAAAGCTGTGGTTAGCTCACTAAACCATTGATTTGCAGATTCAATGAGGCCCTCTCTGCAATTTAAGATATGTTCTAACAGTTATGGCAGTAGGATGATAGATGCCTTGAGAGTGCATAAAGACCTCACAGATGGCATCTTTCCTTTTCTCACTATTTTAAGCAGTTTCCCCAACCCATCTTCCAAATGGACTGCTATGAGTTGGTAAGCTTCTCAATATATAAATGACAAGGAGAAAAACCATGTTGTCCAAAACAATGTACCTCGAGTGAACCCATCCTCTATGTCAGCAATAGGTTGTGTCTCCCAAATTTTATGAGCTCATTATTTCTACTATCATTTATTCATTATTTGGGTATTTCTCAAAGTAGGGCACTTGCATTGTTGGTACATAGATTTATGGAAATATATTGTTTCTCTTATGTCTCACACTTCTGGTATTTTGTTGGGGATGTTGAAAGGCTGGTGTCACTGAGACTGTCATCTGAAGGCTTATGTACAGCCTCTCCTTCCTGGCAGTCTCAAGGTATTCACTCTTCTCGTAGGACAGCTCAGGGCTGCCATGAGACAGAAAACTGAAGCTGCCAGTTTCCTAACACCTGAGCTTTGATCCTACAACATCACTTCTGTCTTATTTATTAGTCAAAGTGGTTAAAAAGAGCTACTAGGCTCAAGGGGAGGGGACATAGACCTCATCTCAATGGGAGGAATGTGAAAGAATTTGCAGCTATCTTTAATTTGCCACAAATGCACATGAACATTTTTATTTTCATATTTTGTATTTAGAAAAAAACATGTATGAGTGAAACCTCATCTCTACTAAAAATACAAAAATTAGCTGGGCATGGTGGCAGGTGCCTGTAGTCCCAGGTACTTGGGAGGCTGAGGCGGGAGAATCACTTGAACCCAGGAGGCGGAGGTTGCAGTGAGCCGAGATTGCGCCACTGCACTCCAGCCTGGTGACAGAGTGATACTCTGTCTCAAAAAAAAAAAAAGAAAAGAAAAAAAGTATGAGAAAACATATATAACATATAAAAATCTGTTTTTATTTCAATGATAATAGTGTTTAGGAACTAGATCACTTTTTTTTTTTTTTCCCTCCGAGACAAAGTCTCACTCTGTCGCCCAGGCTGGAGTGCAATAGTGCGATCTTGGCTCACTGCAACTTTCACTTCCCGGGTTCAAGTGTTCAAGTGATCCTCCTGCCTCGGCCTCCTGAGTAGCTCAGATTACAGGCAACTGCCACAATGCCCAGCTAATTTTTTTGTATTTTTAGTAAAGATAGGGTTTCACCATGTTGGCCAGGCTGGTTTCAAACTCCTGACCTCAAATGATCTGCCCACCTCGGCCTCCCAAAGTGCCAGGATTACAGGTGTGAGTCACTGTGCCCTGCCAGATCACTTTATTTAAAGTTAAGAAAAGTTATTTGATTTTAAGAACACTAAATACATAATACTAGAGATGTGGATATGATTAAAATTGTAATGGAGATAGAGGAGTGAATGAAGTTTGCAAAACACTGCAAGCTTATATGTGTAGAACCAAGAAGGAAGGGGTTTAGGTTCAAATAAAGGTTCAGTTTTCTCTAGTTTGATTCACTCCTTTTTATTCTTGACATCAGTCCGGTACCAACTATTATCTGGCGAAGAGCTGATGGAAAGCCGATAGCAAGGAAAGCCAGAAGACCCAAGTCAAATGGAATTCTTGAGATCCCTAATTTTCAGCAGGAGGATGCCGGTTTATATGAATGTGTGGCTGAAAATTCCAGAGGGAAAAATGTAGCAAGGGGACAGCTAACTTTTTATGGTAAGTGTATGATTTCAGTTTATCATTTGTAGTACTACAGAACTTCCTGATATTGAAATCATAAGCTGAGAGGCATTCAGGCATTTTGGGAGAGATTGTGCAGCACAGGATTATGTGAAACTCATGGTTTGCTCCATAATTAGCCCTGGTTGATTCTGAGTGTGGAGAGTGAGGGTGGGGGGCAAGGATGTTGATGGAGCAGAGAGGAAGACATTAGGCTGATGTGTTTGGAGGATGGATATTAGTGTGAACACACTTGCAAAGAAGTCTGTTTTTTCTCTTTGCTCAAGCTGTAAACCTGACACAGGAAACATTTTATTATTCCTGCTCCTGATTTATCTTTTTTTAAAGCTCTGTGCTTTTCTTCATTAGAATTTTGATTTGAGGCTTGTGTTAATCTTTTGTAATTGCTCCTATTTGGTAGCAATTTAATGTGGTACCATGAACATTTCAAAATGCAAGCTGTCCAAATTTAGTTCTTATCAGAGTGGAATGTGACAAATCTCTCTCACCCCAAAGACATTTTATGTGCAGCTGCTCCTATTCCAATCAAATCATGAGCATTGATCCAAATAATATAAATGTAAAACCACTAGCCCATGGTCATTATTGAGACCATCTTGGAAACCCTGTTAGGATATTGATTTGAAATCTAGAAAAGGATTTCATTGGATAGGCATTTTGAAAGCAAACTGAGTTCTGCCAAATTGGAGCATGCCAGAATCCCATCTGTCTGGGATACAGAAAACAAATACTATAGGTTGATAATTATTTAAGAATGGTTTAAACAAACAACAATGCATATTAAAATAATGAGAGTAGTTCTAAAGCTTTAAATGTTCTTCTTTCTTGCAGTGATTGATCCCACAAAAGTCTATTTATTTCACTAATTCTTCTTATAAAGCATTTTGATTTTAAGATATGACCAAAGTTCTAAGCCCTCCAGTAGAAAGAAGGGGACCCCTCATGGCTAAGGGGGAGGGGCCAAATTAGCATTGAAAAATGAGTTCTTGGCCATGATGGGAGGGTAATGTCAGACACATCTAGTTATACCCGCTCCCTCGCTAACAGCAATGAGCCTTTCTTTCCTAAGGGCTAAATACAATCTAGCCCTTTGAAAAGACTCCATCACTGATATCAACCACCCACCTGATGCTGCCCCTTATTTTTTGCCTGATAAAAGACCGCCAACACAGAATGGTTCTTTCATTCTAGGGAGGATGTGCTATGAGGGGTTTCATGTCCTCTGGTCTACCTTTTGACATCGCAGAGCCAAAACCTCCACCCTCAGATGCTAATTCTGCCATTTTTCATACCCGAAACCCATGAAGGGTTGCACATGCAGATGGTTCTCCTTTCATAAATATCCATGACTTCTCCTATGACTTATTAAATTTGTATATTCATATATACATATGTATATATTTCATACACAGAATCCATGAAACTCAGTTGCACAAGCACATGTTTCTCCTTTCATAAATATCCATGACTCCTCCTGTAGCTTATCAAATATGTATATTAGGCCACTCCATTCAGCACAAATTCCTGTTTGTTACCTTTGCTCCTCCTTCGAAGTGCCAGTTTACAGCTTCTGACCAAGGGAGGCTACACTTCCTAGCCTGTCAGAATGGCCACCAGGCAGGCTAATAAAGGTCTGTCTTCCAAAAAGAAAGAAAGAAATGCAAGGAAGGGAGGAAGGGAGGGAAAGGGAAAAGGAAAGGAAGGAAGGAAAAAAAGAAAAAACTATAGCCAAAGAATTCTGATCGATAATCACATAACGTTTCTTAAAAGCTTGATTGGAAACTGGGCGGAGATTTCCACTATCAGCCAGCCTTCAATGACCTCCCCTAAGTGACTCTCAGCATTTTGGACTCACGTTCCCCTGATGCAGCTTCTGGGGCGGGAGAACACACAGAGTTGTAGAAAGTGTTAATACTTCACTTGATGAGCTGGGCAATAGCTGTTTGAATAAATCTGCACTTCTCTTCCATCATTCGTCTATCTTCAAGAATATTAGAGGACTGACTCTACTCATGCCAGATGACAGACTTGATATTTAATCTTTGCTTTCCTCTTAAACTGTCATAGTTGGTATCTTATTTGATGTGTTGTAAAGCAAAAGACACCACAGTTAACTGACTGCAAAAATACGAGACTGTAAGTTACAGATTTATTCAGTGAGATGCTATGGCTGTGCATTTTTAACTGTTTAGGTCTCATTTTTCTCACCAATGTAATAATTATTTTTTCTATATCAAATAGGGACAATCTGTAAATATTCAGGTAATTGGCCAACGTTTTCTCTTTTTTCTTAGTTGAATAGTCTCTTCAGTTCAGTGGTGGCTGCTCCTAAATGTTATTTGAGTAGCTTAACTAATTGAATAAAGTCATTTTAACTTTCATGATTTTCTGTTAAGTGAAATTCCTGCTCTCAGTATGTTAAACTGGTATGAAATTTTCTGTAGCCAGGGGTTGGTATACTGCTTTCCTGTGGGTTAGAGGTTTCCTGCACTGGAAATAGAGCACCCCAGGGTTACTGTTATGGAAAATCTACTTTGTCACTGGCTCCCAGCCCTGTGCAGGGAAATGTTTTTTTTCAGGGATCCTGCCCTGGAGATGAAAATCAGGTTCTAACAATGTTTCCTTTTTAAATGGAGTTATCTGCAGCCATGCATGGGAAAAAGAGCAGAATAAAATAAAATTTGCCTGCTTTCTGAAGATAACTCAGCCTTACTTCACTTGTCAACCATGCTTGGTATTAAAAACTTGTCAGATCAGCTGACTTCCGTAGCACTTGGCTATTGCATTTATGTTTATTCTTTTGTTTTTCCTTATCTAGCATATCAGTGACAAAAATTATCCAATTGTTTTCATTGTCACAGTCACAGGAGAGCTTAATTATACATGAGCACTTGGCTGTCATCTTTTTTCCTCACACTTTTTTCTGGTCTGGGTCTTCCCAGTGCTGTGTTTGTAATATCCAGCTGCACAGGCCTCCTATTTAAATGAATTATTATAATTAAAATCACCATGTAGATCATAAAAGGCGAAAGGGTACCCCAGTCACTTATCCATGAACATTCTGTCTTTGTTGACAAGAATTTCTTACAACACTAAGGTGTGCTGCACTTAGGGATTATAAACCATGGGTTTGAGCTTAGAAACCTGCTTCTTTGGGTTCCAAGTTTATTGCATTCATCAGCTGTCCACTTCAGCAACCACAAGTGTGCTAACTCCTATTCAGGGTTGGTAAAATGGCCATTTTTTTCCTTCTTGCATTAAAAACATTTTACCTTCTTTCAAAAGCCTGCTGGGCATGATCATTGTTCCCATTGTCTGAATAATGGAAGTCCTATTGCCCATTGGTTTGTCCCTACTGTGGCCATGTCTTCAAGTTAGCCTGTGCTACTCATGTTTGGTGTGTATGAAGAACTGAAGCAAGTTCAGGCATAGAACATTTTTACCCTACCCCATCTTCCCAATTTGTTTTTACTATAACCTGTACTTGGCTATCGTGGTCTAGTTTAATCTACTTTTCTCAGTCTTTTTTGGCATTAAAAAACTTCCTAAAAATAGATTGTATTTCAATGGTAAAATGCTATGGATCTTTGTTACTAAAGATAAACATTTTCCAAAATGACTTTAATATATTATTTACTTGTTTAACAGATTTTTTTTTAATTGCCTACCATATGGGAGGCATTATTAGGCACTATGGTTGCAAGACAAAATCTCTGCCCTCAAGGACCTAATATTTTACTGGAAGTTAAGCGAAATGCACTATTAAGCAAATAAATTAATTAGGACATTTTATTTTCTGGTAAGAGTGATAAAGAAAATGGCCAGGCACAGTGGCTCACGCCTGTAATCCCAGCACTTTGGGAGGCCTAGGTGGGTGAGTCACTTGAGGCCAGGAATTCGAAACCAGCCCCGTTCCTACTAAAATATGAAAATTAGCTGGGTGTGGTGATCGTGCATGCTGGTAGTCCCAGCTACTCGGGAGGCTGAGGCAGGAGAATCACTTGAACCCAGGAGGCGGAGGTTCCAGTGAGCTGAGGTTGTGCCACTCACTGCACTCCAGCCTGGGCAACAGAGCAAGACTCCATCTCGAATAAATAATTAAATAATTAGATCGATATGATAGAAAGTAGCTGAGAGCAAGAGAAAGATTTCATAAGATGAGGTAGTCAGGAAAGACTTGTCTGAGAATGGCCCTCTGACCCAAAACCAAAAGGATGAAAATGAGCTAGGCTTTCCAGGGGAAGTGCATTCCTAGCAGAAGGTGACGAAGTGCAAAGGCTCTGAGGCAGAAAACTACTTGACGTTCTTGATATGCAGCAGGGAAGTCAGTGTTAACTAAATCGTAGTGAGCAAGGGGCAAAGGTTGGAACCTTAGGAAGGTGACAGACTGCAGTACTTTGTAAGCCAGGCACAGAGTTTGGGATTTATTCTCTGAGTATAGTGGGAAGCCATTACAGGCTTTCAAGGCAGGAGGGTGAATCGATTTGATTAATGTTTTTAAAAGACCACTCAGGTTGTTTTGTGGTGAATGGATGATTGGAAACCAAGAGTGAAAGCCGGACAACTAGATAGGAGGCCATTGCCAATATCCAGGTGAGAGATATTGTTGATTAGGACGTAAGAGAGGAAGAGAAATGGAGAGACTTGAGATCTATCTTGGAGTTAGAGCCAATAGGATATTCTCATGTCATTCCTACATCTGTCTAGTTTATAGATATGGAAATTGAGTCCCAAAGAGATTAAAGTAATTGATTTAAGTTTATACAGTAAAAAACAGAGCTAGATTTCAAATGCTGTGCTAGAGGTTCTGAAACTTCAGTGTACATCAGAATAACTTGGAAGTCTTATTACAACACAGAATTCTGGGTCCCGTTCAATGTTCCCAGTGGGAACACACCAGATGGAGGCTTTGATTTGGTAAGTCCAGAGTAAGACCAATAATTTGCATTTCTAGTAAATTCCCAAGTAATGTTGAT